CACCTCAGATTAGCAAACCATCAGGTGCTCATGGCTAAGTACAGCTACTTAATTATAACAAATTTAATTCCTTTATTAAGCATCGGCCAGAGGAACATTGTGACCAATTTAATATTCAAGAGGGCCAGTTTCTAGCAAGGACATCAATTCAGGACTCCTTAGACATGGCAGATTCTGCAGCATGGTCTATATACACTGCAGTGGTAATGAGAAGAGCACCCTGGCTGCAGATGTTGGGCTTTCAGGGAGAGGTTCAGAGTACCATTGAAGATCTCCCCTTTAATGATCTCGAGGTCTTTGCAGACTCAACAGATACCTCCTTTCCTCCAGATTTCTTGCACTAGCATATCTCATCTCAAGGATTCAGAAAAGTCCTTAAGTGATGATAAAGATTGCCTTCGATCTGGGACATATCAGCTTGTGTCTTTGTAGTGTACCATGCCAGGTTAAATCTTCAAAGTCCACAGGGATGGCTTTGAACAGTTTAAAAACCAAGCAGACACAATCTAGGCAGGTTACTCTGTTCCCCAGCGGATTCTGCACTCAGTAGGTAGAAGAACCTCACAAAGACATCCAAAGGTGTTTCCTTCATTCAGATTTTCCCCTACCACAGTGAAAATATCAGATGCTTTGCTTTGAGTTGGGGGACACATCTGGGACCTCTTACGGTGCAAGGCAAATGGTTGCTACAAGAGCAGCTTCTACACATAAATCTTTTGAATTGAGAGCTGTCAGAATTGCTTTCTACACTTTCCACCTCTAATCAGATCAAAGTCAGTAAAGATCATGACAGACAGTGTGGCATGTGTCTATTATATCAACCATCAGAGAGGAGGATGTTCCTCATCTCTCTAGGCTGAAGTGATAAAACTCTGGAATTGGTGCATAGCCAACAAATAGTCATCTCAGATTCTTACCTACCAGGTATTCAGTACACCATGGCAGATGACCTCAACAGACATTTATTTCTAAATTATGAATGGGAGCTAAACTCCAGAGTCCTCCACACGATGTTCTTAGCTTGGGAATTCCTGGAGATCAGTACGTTTGCCACAACAACCAACTCAAAATGCATCAGGTATTGTTCTAGGGGAGGGAGGGGGTCTTGATCCCCTATCTCTAGGAGATACATTTCTCATCTCTGTGATGATGAAAAGACTTCTCTGTGCATCTCCACTGACATGGTTACTGTTGAAGATTCTCAGCAAGATCAAACAAGATTGAGCCAGAGTTGTACTGATTGCACCACTGTGGCTAGACAAGTCTGGTATCCCTATCTAATGAGACTCGCCTCTCGTCTTTCCTGGAAGCTTCCGATCAGTCCTCACCTACTGACGCAAGGTGTCGATCAAACGCTTCACTCCAACTTGCGGATTCTGAGGTTCCAAGCATTTATTCCTCAATGGTTGTTGGGAATAGAGATATCTTGTTCCTCAGAGGTACAAGTTTTATAAACCATCTACAAGAAATACTTACCTCCAGAAACTGCTTTGGTATAACAGTCATCAGATTTCTCCAACTCACTCTCCTCTTCCTAGGATATTAGATTATCTGTTAGAATTGAAAACACTGGATGTTTCTGTGAATTCCATTAGGGTTCATTTAACACCAGTAACAGCCTTTCATACACTCATAGGGGGTTTTTCACTCTTCATTCACCCAACTACATCATGATTCCTGAGAGATTTGTTGAATGTCTCCTCAGAAATCAGAGACCTACTTGTAGCTGAGACCTGAACCTAGTCCCTAATTCCCTTTCTGAAGCATCTGTTTGAACCACTAGCTATGTGTTTGTTAGATTTCTTTATGAAGAAAGCCTTTCTGATAGTGATCTCTTGTGCACAAAGGGAATGAGAATTGTGGGCTTTAATGGTGGATCCCCCATTTACAGTATTCAACAAAGCTAAAGTGTTGGTACGGGGTCATCCAAGATTGTTACCTACAGTGTCCTCAGAATTCAACATTAATCAAACCATTCTTCTCCAGACTGCATTGGAATAGTCAAGAAGCCATATTCCGTACTCTAGATGTCAGGATGGCATTGGTCTTCTAGCAAAATAGGACCAAACCATTTAGAAAATGTCCTAGATTATTTGTATCCATTGCGGGCAGAAACAAGGGTTTGGTAACCTCAAAACAGAGGCTGTTAAAGTGGATCTGTGGTTATATTAAGACATGTTATAACAGAGCTGAAGTCCAACCCCCTTTGAGAGTAATAGCACATTCTTCAATAGCACTATGTACTTACTTAAGGATGTACCAATTGCAGACATCTGTAGAGCGGCAACTCGGTCCTCTCTTCGTACCTTTTCTAATCATTACGTCCTAGTGTCTGTGGCAAGATCAGATGCTGCTGTAGGCAACTCAGTTCTCTCTTTTCTCTTGGACTCTGCTCTCAACCTCCTACCTCCTGAGCAGGGTACTGCTCAGGAGTCACCTGAAGTGGCATACCCACAGGAACTTTACTTGAAGAAGGAGAGTTTACTAACCTTCTGCAATAACTTGAATTCTTTGAGATGTGTCCCCCTGTGGGTGCTTCGCTACCCATCCTCCTCCTTCTCTGCTTTGAAGTTGTCCTTGTGGGACTTTGCAGTGGAGAAGGAAGTGAGGGTGGTTTTCCTGAGCAGCCCCATATAGCCTTTGTCTTGCATATGTAGGCTGAATGGGTACCTCTGCCAAAAATCATTGATCAATTCCAGTTACTGCACATGGTGAGTAACCTCTCTTTCCAGAAGCCAAATTATTCTTTTCATGGAACCAAAAGCAAAATCTCCTATCCCTAGCTGTCCTCGCTCAGAATCTGCAGCTTCTAGAGTGAGATGGAGGAAGATGAAGTAAAGAAAGGAAAGCTTTTCAGGGAGGAGGAGTGATCCTTTTGTTAATGGTAGAAGGAGAGATGTATATTACTTATACAGGTTCACCTTTGTATATGTCAGTAGTAAATAAGTAACTTTCATTAACAGATCTTTCAAATTATTTGTTTTTTATTTGAACCTGTAATATTGGAAATATATTCTCTGTGGTTATGTGTTCTAAAATATTAACAGTTTGGTGTTCCAGAATATTAAGTTAAACCTTGGCAGCAAATCAAAGCAGTGGAGTAAGCAGCTGAAACTAGGACAGCAAGGAATTGTTTTGCTGTTCACTGAAGGAAGTCTTTTTTTTAATGGCTCTGACCATTGGCTCCCTATCAAAAACACCTTATTGGGACTTCATTTGGATGCAAGGCTAGTATTGTCAAAGTAATTACAAAAACAAGAGCAGAATATAAAAGAGCAAAGCTTCTGAGAAAGTTATAATTTATGCTTACATATGATATTTTAATGCTTCCCAAAAAACCCTGTTTAAATAATGTTCAGGATCTGACTTCAAAGAAATTTAGAGTGAAGGCCAACACTGTCTTTAAATCACCATTATGGCACAAATTAGATGTGTGATATATTTAATCTATGCTTCAATGACCTAAGCCCAACAGGTTGAGATGAGATTTGAGAGCAATCTTACTTCTGAATTTCTTCCTTACGTTTGTCAAAGCTGATAAAATGTTGTTTGATCTTATATATTCTAAATGATTGTATATTTTTACTAACAGCATTCCTTGATGGAACTTCAAATCACTGTAGTGTGCATTGGAATAAGAAGACTAAAGTTGTTAGTAGGAAAGGGTGGTATGACTTATTAAGTTAAGGTGCAATACTGAGTCAGGGTTGCCAGGCATGTGGTGGTGCATAACTTAAGATAATGAAGAAAGTAATGTTCTATCATGCAAACTTTAAATATCTAAAGGCAACACAATTAGCCTTGCCTGTACCTCATCACTTTCTTTCTCTGGTATTAATTTTTAATTTTACTTTATAGCTGTATTATTTAACTATCAAGTGTATCTGGACACAGTTTCTATGGGCCACACTGTACGATAACTTATATTTGTTTTTACATTTGCTCATGTTTTTTTAGATTATTGAGCAATTGTTCATGAGGAGGTGTGCTAAATATAGTCAGAATTTACAATAAATATTGTCATCTTAAAACACAAATCCTGGACTTCTCTTCAGCATGGCATAGTTTAAATTTTTAATATAAAAATATGACTGTGTGCGGTGTGGTGTGGTTTACTGAACTGCATCTTCATTTTTTTTTTTTTTTTAGATATTTCATTCAAGTTTCCCCTTTTTGTTTTTGGATTCCTTCTTCACCCTGAATGAATGTTTGCTCAACCTGTTGATCTGTCACCTCTAATAGTGAAAACTCAACTTTGAAGGTAGCAATATGACAGGGTTTTTGATCATTTATATAGAAATCTGCTTTTTTAAAACCCAGTTTCTGTTGCCAGTTTGTCATAGCCCTCTTCATTTTGAGGACTAGTTTTGTTCTGTCTGGAGACTGTCACCAGCACCTATCATGGAGTGAGCATTTGCTGATGACTTGGACTATCTGTGTATCAACCTTTGTTATATAGTATCACTTAAGTGTGTTTCCTGTCATTGGGTGATCTTAAGGATGTAAATACTTTTTTGTATGCCTAGAAACCATACCTAGGGTCTGTGTTGAGGAATTTTAAAATTACTAAAAAATCTTTTGGAAATAAATTGTACTTGAATAGTCTGTTAACCAGTTACAGAACGCTTGTCTCCACTTATATGTTCAGTGTTGTATTGGAAACCTTCCTTGATTGAAAAGGATTATTTTTAAAGTAATACAAATATTAATGGTCATTACCTTTTATGAAAAAAATCAACCGTGAGTAATTTTAAAATATGAGTACAGGTGCTTTTACATGAAGAGCCAAAGGTATGTTTGCACATGTGATTTTAGCTTACTAATATTCTGGCATATGAGGGTTGTGATATGCATAGGACTGGCTTTATTATCCCCATTGTAGTGAGTTATATCTAAATATCAAAGACCACAACTTCATAACTAAATGAAATTGATTGATTTTTCTGATTTTTTTTTTTAACTTTGTGTAGCTAATTGAATTTCTTTGTTTTGTTTTAAAGGATCAATTTGATAACTTAGACAAGCATACACAGTGGGGCATTGACTTCTTGGAGAGATATGCAAAGTTTGTAAAAGAAAGGATAGAGATTGAACAAAACTATTCAAAACAATTAAGGTAAGTTGTTGTATTTTTTTAAACAAATCCTACTCCGCAACAGTTACTCTGAATTACATTATCAGATGGGTAGATAAATATTTGATTCTGTTGTTCAAGGTCTGTTTTTCATCTGTCGTCCGAATTAGATCATTAGTTACTTTTCATGAGAGACGGATTTTTCTGATCTTCAGATTTACCAGTCCAAAGTGCTCTCCCCCCTTGAGTCTTTTGAACCTGAAAGATACACTCAATGGAATCTTGAGACTTTTTAAAAACTACTGATACTTCTGCACTGGTTTTGGGGTTTGCGTTTAGCAATCTTTTCGCATTAGCCAGCTCTTTGGTTTCTTCTCTGTTCAACAAAGTTTAGAAGCAGACGCTTTAACATCCATTTCTTATGTTGGATTGGCAGAATTCACTTCTTTATGTTAGAAATCTGATAGAAGTAATTCGTGAGCAGAATTTTAGAAGATTGGAATATGAGAATTTAAGGAGCTCAAGAAGTGATTTAAGTATGCAGAATGCAGCACCATTTCACAGCGCTGTGTTGGTTTGTTTTGCTCATTCTATCTGTTTAAATGAGGAAACCATTTTATTTGGACACGTTAATCAAAAACTTTTTCGCAGACAGCACAAACAAGTCACCTCTTTGCTTAAGTAACTGAAGCTTATTTTTTGACCACCTTACAGAGGGTTATTGACTTCAGATTTGTCTGTGCCTTGATTTTTAAAATGTTGATGCTTAACTGTAGAGGCCTGCATTGTCTATATGTGAACTTTTATCTACTTTGTTCTAAAAGTTATATTATCTGTATTATTATGTCAATATTATATAAAAACAAACCTTTCATTCTTTCATTTTTAATATTGTTTTGGATAAGATTTGTAATTCCTCCTGAAGAGTATACTGCCTTGGAATTCTTGCATAGTGCACTTTATAAATGAAAAATGTATACCCTTATAATTTACTCTAACCTAGTGGCCACCAACCTGTAGACCATGATCGACTGGTTAAATCTAGAACCTCTGCCAGCTGATCATGATCTCTGGCCACTAAAAGTCCAGCAGCACAACGGGACGAAGGCAGGCTCCTTGCCTGCCCCAATCCCACACCACTCCCAGAAGCAGCCAGAACACCCCTGCCGCCCCTTGGGGAGGCAGGGGTCTCTGCCCACTGCTCCTGCCTGCAAGCATTGCCTCCGCAGCTCCCATTGGCCACAGTTCCCTATTCCCAGCCAATGGGAGCTGTGGGGGCAGTGCTTGCAGGCAGGAGCAGTGTGCGGAGCCATATGGGCCCCCCCAGAGGCATGTTACCCACTTCCAGGAACAGCATGGGACCGGGATAGGCAGAGAGCCTGCCTTAGCCCCGCTGCGCCACCAACTGGGAGCCGCCCAGGGTAAGTGCCATCCAGCGTGAACCCGCACCCCAACCCCGAGCCCTGAGCCTCCTCCTGGAGCCAGCACCCCAACTCCCCTCCTGCACCCCAACCCCCTGAACCCCCTCCCAGAGCCCCCTCCTGCACGCAAACTCGCTTCCAGAGCTTGCACCCCTCACCACCTCCTGCACCACAACCTCCTGAGCCCCCTCCGACACTCCAAACCCCTCGGCCCCAGCCCAGAGCCTGCATCCCCTCCCGAACCCCAATCCCCTGCCTCAGCCCAGTGAAAGTGAGTGAGGGTGGGGGAGAGGGAGTGAGCAGGAAGGGGTGGGGCCTCAGGGAAGGAGCAGGATAGATCCTGTGTTGCACTTAAATTAAAAACATAATCTTGTGAGTAAAAAGGTTGGAGACCACTGCTCTAACCAGTCATTTTCTTGAGCACAATTAAAGAGGAGCAAACAAAAAGGTGTGTTGTGTAAAACTTGTGATGTCTTAATATGTTACCAGGGAACCAAAGAATAAGCAGGTTATTGATTGTTGCAAAGTTTCAGCAGCATGAGTCAGAACAGGTAGACCTGGATATGCAGTAGGTTAACAAAGTCATTCAGTGATATACATATTTAATTTGTCCTTAATTTATGATTAAAAAGAAGTTGGTTTTATTATGTGTCAAATTATTATACCGTCAGTGGATACTTGTAACTGAACTATCAGATGTTGTTTTTGATACAGTAACTGTTGTTGATGAAAGGGAAGAGGTTTGTTTGGTTTACTTCCTCTTTGTCAAATCAAAACAATTCCAGAGATTCTCCTTTTTGTTTTTATTCTGTTCAGCACATTTCTTTCATGCTAACACTGTTGTAGTGGGAGATACAACTTTCTGTTATGTGATGCAGAAGTATAACTAGCGTAACTTCAACAAAAAATAAAATTCTGAATTTGTTCAGTTGCTTTAAACTGGAGTGAGGCGGAAAAAGCCACTCACTCCTTGGAGTGAATGTTGTTCTCTAATTATGTAATATTCCATGATCTCTAGAATCATCTAGTTGATTTGAGTCAGTTACAGAAAATGTTTTGCTTAAATTATAATGGTGATTATCCTCTGACTAAAGTATACTACTGGGTTGTTGTTTTTTCTTCATAGCAGATTAATGTACATTTCAAGTCACCTTGAGACATTTACCTAAATTGCTATATATAAAAAACAGAAAAACGTTATTTAAACATAAGCTTAAAAGTTAAGTTGGGAATGCAAATTACCACCATATGTGTTTGTTTCTCAAATCTGGTTTTCTTTGATTGGAGCTGAAAACTTAAGCTGTTGTTTATTATCCAAATGTGGATCTGGCAAATTTTCTTTTAGTGACTACCTTAAGAGCCAAAGCATATGAACTTTTATATTCCAAATAGATTATTTTATTTTGTACTCAGCTACCACGTAGTTCCTTTCTATGGTGTTTTGTCTTCAGTTGAATGCTTTTTCTGATAACTTATTGAGATATTAAATTAAAACACTTTTGTGATCAGTGCTCACCATAACTGTTAGTTGATGCTATTCCAATCTTTCAAGCTACTAGAGTGCCATTAAAAGTGGAGCTTTTCCTTTAACTATCAAAAGGCCTGGAAGTTCTAATTGCATGGCTTCATAGTCTGTGAAAGTAGACTTTAAATATAATTCACTTCCAAAATCTCCCTTAATGGAATATAAAGATGGTGGGACAAATTCAGAGTTGGTTTCTCCAGCTGTATTAAAATCATTTAATCAAAACAACTTTTAGAATGTCAGTGAAACTGCACCCACTTGTAATGCTGCTTACAGCACTGTATGGACCTAAAGAAAATATGCAAAATTCAAGATAACCACACCGCTATACAAATATTTACAGTAAATTGCTGTAATGTAGTGACTGAGGCACTTCATGAGATTTACATAACTCCATCCTACGTTACAGAAAATACACACATTTCCTTGAAAGCTAGTACTACTTTCAAAGAGAGTTGAATTGGGAGATCCGTGATGTGGAAGCAGGGAAAGAAAGAGAGGGTTTAAGGGCAGCCATTTAAGTGTCAGAGACAGAACAACTGTTGAGCTAAGTCTTAGCCTAATATCGTGAGACCTGTAGAAGCAGTAGGAAACAGCAGAATAGTCCGTGTGACCTATCCTTGAGATAACGATGTTTTGAGAGGAGAAAGTGAGAAAATACTGGAATAGATAGTAAATAGCCTAAATAAAATGTAGATGTTTTTAATTTCTGTACATCACAAAGAGGTATAAACGTTTTTGTGATTTTGCTTGTACTTTGGAGAAACTGAGGCAGAGATGCTCTCTGCCAGCTGTATTCTTCCCTTGCAATTGCTCGATTTTGTTGCTTCCAACCTGAGAGTGGAGTTCGTTTTCTTCCAGAGTGCTATATTTTTAAAAGTACTAAGCATCTTAACCCCTAGATTTCATTAAGCAATAATTATTGCTTGCCACCACATCACTTGAGTCTTTTCACCAAACCAGAGAGCAGTGTGGTCTAATCCTGCCACTAAAAAAATTGACCATCCAACTTTCATCTGCAATCAAATGTTTTTAATCTAGAGCCCTCATTTTGTCCCTATTTTATTTTTAGTTATATTAATTTAGTGCTTGTGCATGATGCTGAATTGACCCTGTTAGACTGTGAAATCATTTGTTCGTGTACAGACTTGGGGCACAGCACAGGTAGTGGCAGTCCAAGACTCTCCGCTCCATCCTGCTGGTGTGTGGAAATCCTTTTCTAGAAAGGCCACAGTTAGGGATGAGTTCAGTGTCTGTGACCTTAGTAACCCTGAGAATCTCTGCTGAAGCCATTAATTAATGTGAAACGTGGTGCCCGTATGTACAGTGTGGATATGTGTCCATTGGGTAAGGGGTCATAACTAGACTGGAAGGATTAGATTTTTATTGGTAAATATGGATTTCACCCTTCGCACAAACTGATGAAAACACATTTCCACTGATACTTGGCCTATTTGTAAATTTCAGTTAAGAAAAATGCTGCTTGAAAACTTACTAGAGTTTGAATTAAGGATATTTACTTGGTATATTTTGACATGTGAAATTGACAATTTGTGTTTTAACCGTTATAAAGCTTTAACTTTTTCAATCTAAATTTATACTGTTGTTAAATAATTATATATGACCCTCCCATAATTTCCTGCAAATGCAAAAATTTAAGTGGATAAAAGTTGTGGGAAAAGATGCTTAAAAATAAACATTGATATTATCCATCAAAATTATTCTTTTTAAATATCAAATTCTGCGAACCTTAGCCATAATTCATTTCACATGGGCTAGCAATGCAATGACTTTCAATCATTACTAACCGGGGTGGGATTTAAATTGATGACCTAGTGGTAAAAAGAGTCGTATTCCATTTTCAGCTTTCTAAGCCATCAACTCTCATTTTCTATCCTCACAATGACACAATGAGTTTTCTTTATACTGTAAGTAAAAAGATCATAATAATATGCTCTGTTAAAATAGACTCTCATTATTTTCCAATGTGTTTGTTTTGTATTGCAGAAGATAATTACAATGCTAAACAAACTGTTCATCATAAACTCTTTTAATAAATCTTGTGACCTTAAAGATTCAAAACGTTGTGGGTGGAA